AAACAAAAGAAAAGCTGCAGTAAATAAATTCAGAGGAGTAATATTGGATATACCTCAGTACAGCTTTTAGATCTTTCTACAAAAACTTTTTGTGCTTCTTTTCAATCTACACTTGGCCCATCGGTCTTAGATTTGGTGGTCCGATCAGTTATTCCAAAAAAAAAAAAAAAAAAGCTAGCAGATAAAATCTCGGACTGATAGTTTCCTCTTGTGTCACTAAACAGGGAGAATTATGCAAAGCAAAATTGTGTTATCAAATGCAAAGTCAGATGTTTATGAAGTTCAACTGAGGGGACTCAATGCTGCACTCACAATGTTTGAAGGCATCTGGGGAGGGGGGGACTTGAACAAATTGTGAACGATGGCCTAATTTCAGAAGCAAAAGCAGTCTGCCCCTTCAATCATGGTTTGTAAAAGCAGGGTGAGGCAGAAGAAATGCACTCTTTGGTACTGGTAAATACAAGAACTTAGTTATGCCTGACTCACTAGGCAGAGAAGAAAAAAAATAAGCAGGAGGATTCTCAATCCAGTATATCAGGCAACCCATCAAGTAACATACATGAACTATTGCATACATCCCTAGCCCACATGTATTCCATATGTATTTTTTCTTCAGTCTCTTCTCTTCTACAGCTTTCCAGTAAATAGTTACAAACCCCTCCTAGAGTTAATGGAAGACACATATAAGCACATTCACACTGTTACTGTTACTGCCGTGGTAGTAAATTGAAAATTATTTATTAAAACCTATTCACATCCATAACCCCAAACTACATTATCCCAAACTTCATGCCATCTGGCTTCATCTGAATGACACATTATTTCGATTGCAGCCTAGATGCAGAACAGGATCACTTGTACCGGTTTGCAAATAATCATCATATTTGGTATATCCACTTACAAGAACTATTTGCTAAGGCTGGTAGTCCCCTTTCTTTTTCTTTGAAAAAGGATACACTTGATACCCACACATAATCTAACCCAAGGGTGTCAAACTTGCGGTGTCATGTTGTCGTTATGTGACGTATCGCAACTTTCCCCCCTTCACTAAAATGGGGGTGGGGTGGCCAGCATGTGACGCATCCGGCCTGCAGGGCGCAAATTTGACACTCCTGGTCTAACCTTGGTCCAGTCACACTTGGCCAATAAAGAATTCTAGTCTAGTCTATTGTTCTGTTCTGTTCTGTTCTGTTCTGTTCTGTTCTGTTCCTGGACTAACCTATTGGGAATGAAAGGGGAAATTTATGCAAGAGATGTGTTAGGATTCCAACTTCTTCTCTTTGGGCCACATCTCACCTTTCTCTGTTAGGCTGTGTAGTGATGCCAGATGATGGGGATATACAACAACACATGGGGTGATACAAGATGTAGGGCAGGGGGCTATAATGTGGAAAATGTCATTTTCCTGTTTGCTATTTTATAGCCCCCTGCCCTACATCTTGCATCACCCCATGTATTCTTGTGTAGCCTCTTCATTCACCCCATGTGTTGTTGTTATTGTTATTGGTTAAATGTCTTGCATAGTTTCATATGCTTTGGAGATGCAGCATATCAGCATGCTAGGCACATGCTCTGTAGGGAAATGGTAATGGAAAAGCTCAACAGGGCTCCTGCTTCTGAGTCTGTTAAGAACCACTTAGGCACATTCATTAAAGCAAACAGCCTACTGCTTCTGCCTTCACACACTCAAGAACGGTGGATGCCATCTGAAAAAGACCTAAAGAAATGTTTCGGTTTAATAGGCAAGCTCAGTAGTTGTTTCCACCTACACTTTACCTTTTGGCTTTCTCTGCCTGTTGTAGACTCCTACTCCATTCTGCTTTGAAGTTCACCTCTCCCGATTCTCCTCCATAGTAGAAGGATCCATAGATGAATAAAAAAACAATATGCCGAAAGCAAATCTTTATTTATTTATAAAACCCAAGGACGCAATATGTTTCAATAAGCTTTTGTTCCAGCTGGAGAGATAAATAGATGGACCCACAGAGGGATAGAATGAGTCGCCAAAAGCTGATAAAGAAAAAGAACCTCGGAAACAGGAGCGATCAAATTTATCTTTTTTCCTGGTTTAATTTGAGGTTGCCTAAAGGTAGAGGCTAAAGGGAAAGTCGTTCCCTTTGCTTTTAGAATTACATTAACTTTTGAATCATAACCAAAAATGAATGTTGCCACTCAGGGAGGATTAATACTTTATTAACTTTGGGAACTGGAAATCTTCAGTAAATTGCAAAGGTTGCATGTATAGTGAAGGCCTGTGATGATCACGATCCCATTTATATGTGGCTTGTTCTGTCATATTAAAAACAGTATACACGTACATCAGTTCATTTAGTGACTGTTCAAAGTTACAATGGCTGCTTACCTTCCTCCCGCAGCAGCTGGTCCGGAGTCCAGAAGGCAACCTGACCTCCAGTAGTTTTCAGCGGCCTCCAGCCAGCTGCTGCAAAGCGGCTGGCAAAAAGGCAGTGGCTGGGAGGCTTCTCACAGTCACATTGAAAAAGCAAAAGCAAAGAGGATCTCAAACAGGTGGCGGCTGGCCGCAGGCTGCCAAAAACTACCGGAAGTCACCGAAAAAGCTGCTGCCGTCGCCACCCTGTTCTTTGTGCTGGCCATGCATGCACATCCCATTGCCTGCTGCGTCGCATTCGGACTGACGCAGCAGGCAATGGGATGTGTCAGTCTGAGCGTGATGCAGCAGGCAATGGGATGCGATGGCAGCGGCTTTTTCGTCGACCTCTGGTAGTTTTTGGCGGCCAGCAGCCGCAAAGCAGCTCTCAAAGAGGTGGCGGCTGGGAGGCTTTTTCTTTTTCAATGCAACTGCAAGAAGCCTCCCAGCCGCTTCCTGGCAGTCAGGCAGGCAGGTGGGGCAAGCGAGTGGTGACCGGGCTACCGATTCAGGGGCGTGGCCAGCCAGCGGTCGCTACCGGTTCAGTGACCAAATTACCGCTACCTTAGGTATGCCTGAACCAGTGCGAACCAGTAGAAACCCACCACTGACTAGGAGTGACATGATAGCAGTGTTCCAATATTTCAGGGGTGCCACAAAGAAGAGGGGGGTCAACCTATTCTCCAAAACACCTGAAGGTAGGACAAGAAGCAATAGATTGAAACTAATCAAGGAGAGAAGCAACCTAGAACTAAGGAGAAACTTCCTAACAATGAGAACAATTAACCAGTGGGACAGCTTGCCTTCAGAAGCTGTGGATCCTTCATTACTGGAGGTTTTTAAGAAGAGCTTGGACAACCATTTGTCTGAAATGGTATAGGGTTTCCTGCCGAAGCAGGGGTTGGACTAGAAGACCTCCAAGGTCCCTTCCAAGGGACCTTATTATTTTTATCTATTCCCTTCCCTTATTCTTTTATCTATTTGAGCCTGTACGTAGAGTATATGCATGCATATACACATAGGCTCCATAGAAATATGATTCCTCTCACTGCAATATTCATTTGTTTCCGTTGCAACATTTTAATAGGAGAATGACCAACCAGTTCCCTGTCCTGTGGTCCATTTGTTCAACCATACTAGAGTAGGAAAAAAACCCTCTGAAATTAGTTCAGCCATCCAGTGCTGATGCGGACAATCTTCTCAAAAATATTTGACTACCTTATCCATTGATGTGTTGCTTTGCCCCAGCCTATTCTTACCTACTTTTAATTTGTTTGTTTCTCGTTTTCAGGGAACTCTGGTCTAACCGTTGAACCTGGGAGCTTTTGAAAACCATCCTGTTTCTGACAGTCTGAATGACTGTTTGCTTCCAACAGGCAGAATACTACCCTAGGTCCCTAGATAGCTGCGGCAGGCCCTCCAAGAGCAAATGATGCATCATTGCATATGTCAGGCTGAATTAGAAAGCAGGCTCATCACATTACACTCAGAGTTGGAGCTGGCAGCTCCTGTGTCCTAGAGTCACTTGATCTGGGCTGTCATACTCCCATCTCCATCACTCCAGCCATGGGAAATCTCCCTAGACAACATACGGACAATAATGCTTAGTAATGAAGTTGCTGTGAGGATATGGTTTCTTGGCACTGGCCGCCACTAGCTGTTCTATTAAGTTGTCTTATAGTGTTACGTAGTTGAAGGCATCATTTATGCTGCTATTTATTTCTGCTGGTGTTAACTTATGTGCTCATTGATTGGTACAGCAGCTTATTAATATATATTGAATAAGCATAAACAGGAATAAAATAAAGTTATATATCTGTCTCTGGGTTGGGTCCTGGGTGATCCTACTTCTTTTATTATCCTTGTTGGTAGGATGATATATATATCATGTGATTTGAGGATGACAAAAAATGGAATCTTTAGTATCTTTCAGATAGATTCCTTGGAAATATTATCTAATGTTAAATAATGAAGGAATGTTTGATCCAAGGTAATTTGATTGGTTATATGATTGAGCTGAAGTTTTCTTACTTTCTTTCTTGACAGTATATAACTAGCATATCTGACAGTATTGCCATATAGTATATAACTAGCATATCTGACAATATTGCCAGATATGCTAGTTATATAATTCAGTTGATTTGCTTGTCAAATTCATATCCTTCCTTTGGACTCATTTATAAAAAATAAATAATATCTTCATTTTTGTATTAAATGCTGCACCTGAAAATACTACAGAGCACTCCAATACAATAGAACAGCAATAAGATGTGATGTAAAAAAACAAAAAGTCAAGTAAAATGCACCAAATAAAGAAAAATATTCATTGATCGGTTTACATAAATCTCCTGAACTGTAGAGTGTGTATATTTTATCCAATGAAATTAAATTGTCTGGTGTCACATTTGCGAACCAGAGGAAGAAATTGTGAACATTGAATTGTTGTATGACGGTGCTGATTATTCAACAAACATAGCAGCATAGTGACCATTCAAGGGAACACTGGAAACAGTAACGAAATACTGAAACACACACAGTATACTGTGTGATAAATTTCTTCGATAAAAGTATTAATTATATTTGATTAACTCCTTTTGTTTCTTGTCTTTGTTAGGTACCTGTGCTAAGGCCTATGGATTTAATGGTGGAGGCAACTCCCAGAAGAGTCTTTGCAAATGCACATACCTATCACATCAATTCCATTTCTGTAAACAGTGACTATGAAACCTACATGTCAGCAGATGACTTGAGGATAAATTTATGGAACTTTGAAATAACCAATCAAAGTTTTAGTATCCTTTGCTGCATGAGTCTGCCTGGAAATATCATCCAATCGGAAGAGTCATGTTTTAAGAAGAAGCACACTGCTCAATATACAAGTTTACATTTCTTCAATGGTTGGTTGTAACGTTCAGTTTACATTTGTTCATTTTCCTGGGCCCCATCTACCTTTATCCTATACACTAACTTTTATTCAAAATGGTCATATCTGAGGCCTATTTAATCTGCAGATTTTGCTCCCTTTTTTATGATTCTTTATGGGTATGGTTTAATGCTAAATAGTGTCTCTAGAGCGGAAGTGCATTTCTGCCACTTAAAAAGTGAAACAAGACATGTAGGAGGAACCAAAAAGAGAAAATATCTCTTTTCAGAGATTCTCTCTATAATTCTGTTGTTGGAATCCCTGTGACTTTTATTTGAAATGTTTCAATAACATGCAGTTTCGAAGTTTAATCAAATGCTTACTTGGGTGATGAGGAGATGTTCTCCATGAGATTTGTGTCATGAAGATAAGTTTACGTAAGTATTAACTATTTAAAGGGTGTGGGGTGCTTCTCTCTATTGTTGTTGCCATGAGCAAAGCAGCATTTGTTGTAGCATCGATGTGATCATATTCCTCAGAAGTGCCATCCTTTGTCAACAGTCAAGGATGTGTCTTCTCGGTATGCATGCACATGCTCAGATGACCTTGGATGGGCACCAATGCAGCTGTACAGGACTTTTGGAAGAAGACAGACGGACGCTTTGAGAAATAGTGCTTTGCTTATGGTAATGCTGCAGGAGAAGCACCTCAAAATGGTCAACCCATTTTTAAAATTGTCTTTCTTTTAATTAGGCACTGAAGTAGACATTGCAGGAGTGAACTGTGTTATATAAAAGTATTTGTGCCTTTTTTTAAAAAAAAATCTACAGGCTTTCAAAATTCGGGTTTACTAATATATAAAGCAAAGTCTTTCATGTATTGGTATAAACCAGTGTACTGCAGACAGGAAATATGTCCCATTGGACATTTTGGGAGCTGCTTCCCCATGCAGCTCAGATGGATTTCATGATCTATTTCCATATTTCTCTTATACATATTTTATTCTATGATCACATAGACAGTAGTTTTGTCTTGAGATAGAGGCAATAATGGTAGGAAATATGCTGCACAAATGTCCCTACCCAGCTGTCTTCTGCGTTGTAAGTTGGCTACAGTGTAGTATTTGGGCAGGAGTTCTTTTGAGCTCTCCTGTTCAACTAGGCAAAAATCCAAGCTTGCTCTAGGCAGCCTTAATAGAATGGTTGGATTTGGAAAGGTGACTTTGTAGGCCTTCCTAGCATGCCCTGCATCAACTATAGCCATTTTAAGCGGGTACAAACAAAGCTTTGTATTTAACAAAGATTTATCGACTTCTCCCTTGCCGTAATAGCTACCACACTTTGTGGAGAACAGAACTTCTATCTCAGTACAGATTAAAATGTAGACATTTTTTTTAAAATCTGGCATTTGTGTTTGAAGACATGTGGCTAACAGATTGGTAGGTTTTTGCAAGAAGGAAAGGATAGAGAATTCTGTAATCCTTAAACTCAGGTAATAGGAAGAACAGAAGACACAGTTAAACAAACAATCTGGAGGAGTGTAGTAACTCCTTCTCCAAGGCAACACAATTCAAGTAATTGCTAGAGCAAAGAGGAAAGGTGACATGGAGACGCTGTTTCTATGCTGTTACGTGTAGAAAACAGGAACTTTAGATTTCTTTCACTATGGAGGAAGAAACTGGATCTGCTGTGAGCCTTAAAGAGAAAAGCTACAAGGGCTCAAGGAAGTGACAGGGAGTAGTCTAATAATGTTCTTCTTTGTATATTCTAATTGGTACCTGCCATGTGGTACTCCTGCTCTAAATCAAGATGATCATCCTGTGTATGTTTTTTTGAAGGGTATTCTGCTCAAATAGCAATAGCAATACGACTTAGACTTATATACCACTTCATAGTGCTTTACAGCCCTCTCTAAGCGGTCAGCATATTGCCCACAACAATCTGGGTCCTCATTGTACCATCCTTGGAAGGCTGAAAGGATGAGTCAACCCAAAGCCGTTCAGGATCGAACTCCTGGCAGTCGGCAGAGTTAGCCTGCAATGTTGCATTCTAAGCACCATGGCTCAAATAAGGAGCATAAAAGAGAGAGAAGAAAGACAGCAACAGAGGATAAAAAGCAGTGGTGGGTTGCCCCCGGTTCGCACTGGTTCTATAGAACCGGTAGTAAAACTGGTGGGAAGCTCCGACCACTGACCCTGACGTCATGAAAGTGCTTCTGCACATGCAGAAGAGTACGCAAGCTAAGTGAGCATGCGTGCGTGGCCCCGTTGCGAACCGGTAGTAAAGGTAAGTAGAACCCACCCCTGATAAAGAGGAATAGCAACAGTGAAAGATGACTGTTAGAATTTGGGGGAAGGAAATCAGGGAAGAAGCAGGTGGCATTAAGGAAGAGCAAAAGGAGAAAAAAAATGCAAAGGGGAGTGTGGGATATGTGATCCTCTTCCATAGTTTATTCCTGCAAGAGAAAGGTATGTCTAGATATGTTTTTCCCTTCCATGTATATGTAAGTGGCCTTGCTTTTTGAATGTTTCCTTAACAATTAAATTCCTTGAGCCTCTTGCACAGCTTTGTTACCAACAACAGAGAATATTCTGGTTTAGGTAGCCAAGAATGCACATGTAGCTCAGATGAGTTGCTAGTGCTGTTTTCCAGCTTGGCTGACAACTGTTTAGATTTTGCTTACAGATTAGCATGGGAGATAAGAGGAGCCATTGTAGGGTGTAATTTAGAAGACAGGTGCCTTTAGAGAAGATGTGGAAAAGAAATATTAATAGGTAGCTTTCACTATGCTCGAGATGTATGACAGGCTGCCAGAAGCCAGCATTCAAATGAGATTCTGCCAGTCAAGTTTATAAAGCCATAATAGGAATTATAATAGGACAAAGAACAATAATTCATTTCTATAAAGCATGTCCAAAACATCACATATTCTTTTAAGTAACACTGCTGTGCAGTAAATGGAAACCGCTTACTCGAGGTGATTGAAAAAAAGAAAGAAAAACCTTCAGAGCCAGATGTATGCATAAGTGTTTGTGCACTTGTAAGTATTTTTTTCTTTTCTTTTTTTCCCCAGCAATGAGATAGAGGCTTGCTGGATAGTATGTCATAGACTTCTCCTCAAATGACAGAGGTGCTGGAGAGGCCACGAGATAACAGTAGTGGTGAAGAGAAGCAGAATGAATCATCATGCGTTTTCCCATAAGGGTCTGATTGTTTGCAGCTATGGTATGCTAGGTTAATCCAGATGTTGGATGCTGCACTTCATATCTCTCAACCTGCAGTTTAATCTCACACCCTTCCTTAGACTATTTTTGCACAAAGCAAGCTGTAGAAGACCCAATATCATTCCTGACTTCAGATAGAAGAGGTATACAATATTTTGATAGCGGAGGGCTATGCTTTCTAGAGAAAACCAGCATTGTGTGGTAGTTAAAAGTTCTGGATGATGAATTTGGAGATCTGAGTTCCAGTCCATTTTCAGCCTTGGAAGCTCCTTGGCTAACTTTCATTGGTTCTTAGAGAGATTGTACGAAAATTTGGAGGAGGGAATGCTCTGGATACTGCCTTCATCTTTTGAGAGGAAAGACAGGATACAAATCTATTCATCATTTTGTCTGCCAAGGACTGCAGTGGGTTGTCTTGTCTGGCAGAAGAGAAATGGTGGGTCAGCATTGACTCATAGGGTTCAGCTTGTATGTATTAATCTAACACTTCTTTTATAGCCTTAGTTTTTTGTTCATTGCATTACATCACTTTGTCCTTGACAGTTAATCTGCCTTTTTATCATTGGTTGGTTACCTTTTGCAAATTTAATTCCATAGGAAGTAGGAATCTGTAGAACTTGTTCTTCCAAAGATTATAACAATCTCATCTTTATCAAAGTGATCTGTCCTAAAAGAAAAAGGTTCTCCTGCTTTATTGGTAAATCATAGCTAGAACTTAACAGTTTGTAATGAAACCTGACTGATATCTGAAGTGGCTGCTTGATTTTTAGTAGTGTGTTTATAGGGTCCTGCTTGTTTAATGTTCATTGCCAATCATTTCTTCTTGGAAGAATAAAAAAAAAAACATGTAAGGGGTATTGCATATGATCTTGCCAGAGTTAAGTGTTTTTAGCATTAGCAGAAATAACATTTCAGATACCTGCCATGTGTATAATACAAGCTGTAAAAGCCCTAGATACTTTAAAGATCTCACTTTTAAAGAAGGATTATGCAGATACCTCATTGTTCTGTCAAGGTTGTTAAATCTGTGTTTGTTTGAACTGTGAAATATAAGCCCCATTACATGGCTTGAGTGGGAAAACTGGTATAGCCAATTATATTCAAGGTTTAAGGAGGCATGAAATGTAATTTAACTTTAGCAATGGCTTGTATCAAAAGAGGCATAAATTCTCATTCCTGCCTCTCTTCTTCTTCCACCAAGAAAGATGCAATCAGTTGAGAACTACTTCACGCTGCAGATAGTAATTGCTTTGCAGGGACTTTTTTGAGACTATTTGGTTAACACTGAAATGAAATGTTGGCATATTTAAGAAAGTTCTTCTGTTCAATGCATAACATTATTTTGCCCTAGAACAGTTAGCTGCCTTTTAGTCACAGGTTACCTTCTGCAAATTTAATTCCATATAGAGCCTGTAGAACTTGTTCTTCCGAAGATTGTAACAAGCCCATCTTTATCCAGCTGATATGTCCTACAATCCCAGACCATTATCCATCCTCCCACAACGTCTTATGAAGTTTCTCCAAAAATTCTAGCAAAATTTTCGTTTTTAATTTGTCACAAAGAAAAAGTCCTGAAGCATCATATGTACCTGAAACCAAACTTAGTTTTTGTCCTAGACCCAGACACATTTCTGAAGCGATACTCAAAATCAAACAGGCCTCAACCTAAAAAGGCTGGAAACTCCTGCTAGAACAGACAATTCAGC